TTTGGTTTAAAAATACTATTAATATTTGAAAGATACATTATGATTTAATATAATATAATCCATACATTCTACCATAAAAACAAGTCCCTGAAATAACTAACAATCCAAAAAAAAACATAAACATAACTCGAAAATAATGATCGATTTCAACTTTGTTTTTCGATTTCAACCTTCAAATATTAAAAAAAGTAATGTATAAGATGTCTAAATGATTGCTATCTATCGTGTGATAATTGTAGAACTATTCATAGTGACGATAAATTATTATTACTTTATTAATGCTTTTTTTATTATTATATTAGATTATTAGATTATTAGATTAGATTATAGATAGAATAATAATTAGATTATTTCTTGTGAAATATTAAAACATCAAATGTTATATGTTATAATAATATATGTTCAAATTTTTAGTGTTGTCAGAGACCTTTTGTATTTATATATACATGCGTATAATGCATAACAATATTTTATAGCTTTTATAGCATCTAGAACACTATATATTTTATTATGTAATAGAAATCAAAACATAACTTAGTATTGAATATTAGTAAGTTAAATATTTATTTAAAAACATATAATTGTATATTAAAGAAATTGCTTTCTTGATTTTAATTTGCTCTTACATATAATTTATATATAATTATTAATATATTTCATTTTATAGTGTACATAAAAGTAGTTTAAATTTTTAAGTGAAACTTGTCATAATAAAATTACTTAATGATTCATTTTCATCATTTTTAATTAAGAACTAATAATTTACACCAATTAATTATGCAATATACTTTTGAAGAGTATATTAACTAAAATTACGTCGTTCTATTATTTACAAAGGAAAACTTTTAAATTTAGGGTAATTGAAAATAGATATCGTGTGGGTATTAAGTGATAACAGTGAGGCATTGAGTTATTTAAAGAGCACTATAGTGAGAGTATGGCTAATCTGAAAAGATACAAAGTATTGCCTGCTCAAATGCCTAGATATTAGGTTTTATATTATTATTATTATTATAGAAAGAATAACCAATATACCCAGTAAAATAACCACTATATAAATATGAAAGTTATTAAGCTTGAGCATGAAATAGTTGTAAAATAACTATTTCCTTAAAAATATTATGTACAATAATTTAGACAAATTTTCAGATAATATCGAACAAGAGCCTCAGCATCTGGAAAAGCGTCAGTGGAAGAAAATCCTCATTGCGCTGAATTCAAAGCCTGCTATTTCACTCTTTTTTTCTGACAGAAGAGGGGCACCTTAGATCTCTTTATCTCAGGGGTACAAAAGTTCCGTGCAGATTATGGGGTTGACAATCCCTCTTGGCTTCTTTAGCTTTTGCGAGACGGAGGCCTGTTACTAAGAACGTATGACTACAATTACATTACATGGAGTAATAACTCAAAGTAAAAGATATTATCGATAATCTTGGTCTCTTTATACTTCATGCGGTGATAGCGTTTCATTCTCAAAAGTGATTAGTTGGCTACGGCTTTTCCTTTCCTATTATCTTTAATAAATTCTTTTTTATAAATTCTTTGAAATATGGAATAGTCAAATCAAAACTTTTTGCTGGTATTCGGTTATTAAATTTATTATGAAAAAAATTTGTGTAAATTAAAAAGTTGATACTATAAATAAAATCTCGTTCAAAAATATAAATTTAATTATACATTAATAATAGTGCTTAACTATTTATTAAATAAAATGAGTATAATATGTGATACGATATTAATAATAAAAATAAACGTATTTAAAAACTAATTTTTATTAAATGTCGTTTATTAATTTTTCTTGAATAAAAATATAATACATATTTACAATAGAAAAATAGCAATACTTAAATCACATTCTTTTGGAATAAAGATCTTTGATGGTAAATTTTCTTGAGAGAATGAAGTTGAGGATTTTATTTTGGAAGTATGAAGGTAATAAAAATATCATAAGTGAATAATATTCATACTCTTGTATTTCAGAAATAATTTTTACACACTTATAAAGCAGAGTCGATCGATAAAAGCAAAACGTATATATCATAACAGCAAAGGCATTTCTAACCGTCATACAGTAATTGAGATTTATTGGTTAAAGATTTTTTATTGATGCACTTCCGATTTAACAGTAGTACAGTATAGTAATATACATATTTTACAGTTTAATGATCAGCTTGCTTTGCATAACTGCATAAATACATGGTACTTCCTATTTACAATTTCGCTTTTATACCATTTCAATTAAGCACTAATTTTCTTAAATATCGTAATACTCGCTAGTATAAAGGCTGCAGATCGAAGAATTAATTTAATTTACCGTGAAAATTAAAATTAAAATTAGACTTATGATGAGACGTTTCTGTCCAGTTGAAATATGATTATGAATTATGAAACACGGAGTAAGATGAGATAAGGAAGAAGATGAAAAAAGGTCGCTTGACTACAATGCGAAACTCGTTAAATAATTTGTAGACTGAAAACAAGGACGTGTGCCAGCGATCGATTACAGATCCAGGCTTTTCTAAAGATTACCTGAAAATGTATACACTTGCATTGCAGCTGTGTGTGCTACTATTTCTTTTAACGCTGTTTTGGATCGAGAAATTTAACGATTTGACTGGAGATACATAACAATCACACTTTAGAGCCCTCTTTCTCGCTTTTTACATATAACGGGTTAAACTGTTACAGCTTTGGGTGCTCACTTGGATATTTTAAATTATATGAAAGTGTGCCATTGTCTTATTGCTCGAAATTCGGTTTGAATTACTATTGTACTTCGACAATTAACCTTAAATGACTAGATGTCCACATTTCGTACTCATTTTTTTTTTTAAATATAAATACATTGGCTTTTGTTATAAGTGATTAATTTTTATAAATTACAATATTCTTCATTTATTTAATAACTTTTCAATTACATCTAAAAAGGTAAAACTCTTTTTCTTTTGAAAATAATTATGTCATGTTGTTCATATTCTTTTATTATACTATTACAATCAGCTTTCAACCAAGTCAGGTGAACAATAATAGTTCACTTTTACTAAGAAATAATATATATGTCAATAAGTAAAAGCATACGCCAAAGTTATATTATTTACAAAACTGATATACTTTAACTATTAGTTATTTAAAATAAATGTAATATATTCGAAAAGTCATCGTTTGCGATTATGAATAATTACTTTTATATTTAAATTGGATAACATTTTCATTTGCATTTCTATTACTTTTAGATATAATTGTTTTTATTATGTACTATAAATCCATAATTGATAACATTAATTATACCATATTTGTTTAACGTTTAATTTAGATAAACATAGTACAGAGGACTTCATTTTCGTATGTTTCTTTAAACTTAGAAATTGTAATTAATTTCACTGATCATCAGAGATTCAATTTAATAAATCCGAATATATCATTAGTTATTTAATTATCATTTATATTAAAAGGAATTATAACTCACAAATCAATTGACTAGATAGATTTTCTTTGGTTATATTATTATGTTTCAACTCGTAACGTAACTCTTACGAACTCAGAGTTTACATTTGACTAGAGGAATACTCTTTTGTTCTATAAATATAGAACATTAAAAAAAATAAGAATTAAAATTGAATAAGATATTAATATTAAGCTTATAAAAATGATGGCAAACATTTTTTTATAAACTTCTTTTTATACTAACGTCTTAATTGGTGACTAGAATTTTAAATCAAATATACCTAAAATTATAATTGCAGATAATACGACTACAAATATTTTTAATATTTTTGAAGTTCATCCTTACATTATTTGGGAAATAATTTATTTTATTTACTAGTTACATTTATCTGTATTGTGATATGAATAATTTTTTAAAATATATTTATAATATAATTCATATAAAAATTTTCACTTGAAATGTTTTCATCTAAATCGATCTTAATTGCGTATAAGTTAAAATTTATAAAAAATTCTTGTGTAATTAAAACTAAAATTTTAAATATAATTGTATATTATAAGCTCACAATATTTTTATATTTTAAAAATATTTAAATTCGTTAAATGTTTATCTTTATAAGTTATGATTAGGCTGTTTTATTAGAACAGTTTTGTTACCTTTATTTAATAAATCTTAAAGAAATATTAAATATCTTTAATAAAGTTCGCTGTGTAAACTTGTTAATAAATTTATTGATAATAGCAAATTAAATACTACGTATTTAATTTATCACTAGAAAGCTTAAATCAATTAATGACTTAAATTTTTTAAATTAAAGTATTCGAGATCATTTGATAGCCATTTTTACCATGAGGAAATAGAAAACTAAGTTATATAAAATTATATAATAATAAAAATATAATTGTTCTTATAAAATATTGCTGTTAAAAATAAAAAATATTGAACATTAAAAATACAATTTCATTTTTCGTAACTTAATTTTGTATTTTTTCAAAGATTTTGATACATGGGTATGTATCGAATATTATTATATACATATATTACTACGTCCATTATCTACACATTTATACAATCGAATTATCATGAAACACTGATACATTATCTCGACTCGTGACTTTAATGATTTACAATAATTTACAAAGTAACATTAAATTTATGTATATTATTTAATGTATTATATGTATTTTAATAACACACGGTTCATAATTTCTTCTTTTTTTGGCAAATAAAGCTGTTTGTTCCTTATGCACTACAACGATTTGAGACTCTATAAGCCTCCGAGACTATGATGACTAGATACGTTTCACATTTTTTAGTTTATCTGTATCGTATTTTATTTATATCTTATGGTCGATTTCTTAAGGTCGACAATTTCTTACTTTCCTAATTTTTCCTGAAAAAAAAATACTAAAAACTTTTTTTAATGATAATAATTGTAATGTTTTAAGAACATACTCTAGTTAAGAGAAATTAATATGTATGGTTAGTATGGGAGGGTTGTATTATCGATTACGAAGTAAGATAAATAGTGACAAAAATATATCGACTGTGGGGAATTAGGGATGAGAATTAAAGGACAAGCAAAGGAACACGCAACGAAAGCGAGATGATGGACTAATCGGTTTTTGATTATGCACTCACATAAGGTCGAGACCAAATCTCCAGTAGAAGCCGGGTGGTCGGCGCAGAGGCATTGGCTTGGCGGGGGCTAGCCGTTGTCAGGCAGTTTCCGAGCTATCACCGACAAGCTCGCCCGGGTGTTGTGAAGTAAGATGCTTCCTTAGATTAGCATGTTTGCCAAACCGAGCATCGCAGCGAGCGCAGGAAAGTTCCTCAATGCTGGAGCTGCCGGTGCTCATCGTTGGCGGAGCCGCAGGTCTCGGCTTGTGCCATCGACGATGGCTCGCGAGGTTCGCTGGACAAGAGAAGCGCTTGTCACACTCAGGGCAACGGTATTCTACGTGGGCAATACGCGAGCAGCGGTGCTGAGCCAATTGGAAGGCGTCCTCGTGAAGCTGCCGGCAGAGCTTGCACTGGTAGGGTCCGAGCCGGTTCTCGATCTTAGCGAGTTCCGCGCGTGCTTCTTCCGTCACCTCGACAATGTTAAAGGCGGGATCAATGTCGCCTGTAACGACTGCCTCATCCGGTCTAAGAATCACCGTTCCGGAGACCGGGCTGCTTGTATCCTCGTCGAACTTAAGTTTGCGCGCATGCTTACGCTTGGCGCGACCCTTTTCCAGATACTTCTCCGGTCTCGGGCTCGTCCCAGCGGACCCAGCTTCCTCTTCGCGACCTCGACGCCTAGGACACTGGGGCGGTGAAGGTGTACTCGGCGGTGTCATGGGCGCATGAATGTGTGGCGTTGGAGGTGTTCGTAACCGACCGGGACTCAAAAGTGATGGCTTCCTCTGGGTTTCTTGGTAGCTCTCATCCAGCTGAGTGGCGTAGTCGATTTGCTGATCATAGTAATGGTCAGTAGTGGGCTCTGGTTCGTCGAGTTCATCCAAACTGTGAGGTCGCATTACCTCGCGACTATGACGATCCTCATCGTCGTCGACTTCAATAGCTTCGCAATCATCACAACCGGTGCTCGGAGTCGGCGGAGGCTTCAGAGAGAGATCTAGGGGACTCGGGTTCGGATCACGTCGTGGCTCCTCAAGCGGCATCGGTGTTCCATACCAATCCAGTCCTACGTACGAATCCTCCAGGCGTTGTTCGGCATAGCTGTAAGACTGACGCAGTTCCTCTGTGAGAAAGCGGCCGCTTGCATAGCCGAGGCCTGGGGTCGCCAGGTAGACTCGCGGCAAGGCGCTGTGCAACATGACGGCTTGAATAGTACGGATGCGAATCGTACGCTGGCGGTAGCCAGACGCCGTTTGTCGAAGCTGAGTGTCGTCGCATCTACTTAAAGTGCGGGAGCATTCTGAAGCTCCGCCCAGGTCAGGGCCGATTCGTCGCGTCCCCACCAGCGTCCACAAAAACAAGAGTAGGGAGACGGATGCGGATGCGCGCGCGCCAAATACAAGTGGATGAACAGGGGTAGCGCTTCCGTTACAGAATTGTGTGAAGGAACCGAATGCGGGCGGAGGCAGACGCTGCGTGATCACGAAGAAGGATGACGACAGAGGGAGGGGCACTAGAAGGCGTGGAGCCTGTTTATCGCTTTGGTTCAAAGGACGCACACATTTATTCAACGTCCTGTTTATCCTTTTCCGATCATTTTTAAGGACTCGTTTCACTTTGTTTCGAGGACCCAATTTTCTTTTCCTGAAACAGATAGAAATAACGATTTAGATTTTTCAAACTGCATTCAAAAAGAACACATAGCATGTACAAAAGCGTATATCACAATAACATTGGACTTACGCTTTTTTATAATGAAAAATACGAATCACAGACATGATTAAACAAATATCTTTCTCTACTTTGTTAATAATAATCAAAAGAAGTTGCTCAAAAAACTTTAAGAAAATAATTTTTTTTAATCTTGTTCAACTGAATTAATATTAAGAATAATTAATATTACTATGTTACAATATATTTTATACGTCAAATGAAACAATTTTCAGTCAAAAGATAATATACAATTATAATTACAATTTACTTATTCAATTAATTAAATCATTATTTTGATTAAGTAATTATTAAATAACTATTAAATAATTATTGGGCCATGATGAATAAAAATACTTTAAAGTATATATTACAATATAAATACTCTTAAATATTCATAATTTTAGAAGCATCAATAATTATTTAATCAAATATTTCTATACATTAAAAATTATTTATTCTGGCTGTATTAATAAATTTAATATTTTCGATAATAAATATTACATATAAATTATTTTAGGATAACCTTGTCAAGAAAATTTTAACAAATATATTTTTAAAAATATACTTTAGAATTTTCATTATATATAGTGTTACTTGCAAATAAAAAAAATCGTAGATCATATATTTTTAATTAATCTTACCACAAATTACAAAATTTTGAATAATATCTACCAAAAAAACAAGTTCTACTTTAATGTATTACAATAAAGTATTCAAATATAATTATAGAAACAAATTGATGTTATTCCATAAATCATTTACATAAATTAGAGCTTTTATCTAATAATTCATAATAATAAAAGAAAGTAGTTAACAATTTTATATTGTATCTTCAAACGAGAAGTTTCAATAATTAATTATCTAATGAATTTTTTTTAATGATATTGCGATTAATTTAAATACTGTTAAAATATTACTGTTCATTTTACTCATTACATATCCCTTATAATACATACTAATTCATTAAATGGATAAGTAATAAATAGATATGTATATATTTGTATTAATAAATACATATCAAACATAGCTAATATAGACTTCTACATTTTTTCATTTACATCAAAATAAATTATACATATGTCACTCAGCATATACTAATACGTTTATTCGCATGCAATTATAGGACCGTTCATGCATCTATACTATAATTTCACAATTTTCAACATACATAAATAGTCAAATTGTTTTTATAATTTTTGTATAGAAAGAAAAAATTTTATTATTATTTATTAATAATTTGCAATTGTATATGAATGTCTAATATTCACTTATTGATGAAATAAATATAAATTATGTAAAACAACTGTGATTATATGTATATATATATCTATAATAGATTATATTTATAGCTATTTTAAATATTTTAATTTTTATAATATACAATCGCTTTATGTAGAAAAATATGTATTTTTATTATAGAAGAAAAACCCGTAATTGAATGCATTATTCCATACAAAAGTTATGAAATTTATAATGTATTTTATTTAATTTTATATTATCTTTTATTATTTATTTTGCAATTATAATTGAATAAATTTGGCAAGGGCAACCTTGAGTTCTTACTTGAATTTTTTTCAAAATAATATAATAATAATAAAGTATTATAATAACTTCATTTTGTCAAAAATATAAAAAATGCAATACTTATTATAGTTATTATAAATTACATATTCATTAATATCAACCTATTTATAGTAATACATTAATTTGATAATAATCATAATTTTATTACACTGTTACAATTGATACTATGTGAACAACTGATAAAAATTAATAGTTGTATAGTAATAATAGTATTCTAAGCACTTGTAAAAAGAATTAAATTAGAAACTTTTGTTTAAATATCATTTTACTATTAAAAAACTTCACACCATTATTTTAATTATTTTATTTATGAATGCAGCATAAAAATTTTGTATATAAAATGATTAATAGTAAATTTAATTGTAATGAAATAAAATATAAATTAGATTTACCATCGATAAAAGTATAATTTATAAAGATAAGTATATAAAAATATGGTTATAATATAAAGAAAAGGACAATAAAAATATTTAAAGACACCATTGCATTGATGATATAGATGATATACCTTGTATATCATCAATATAAAGCTATAACTTTGAAACTTAGTCAAAAGAGTTGTTAAATAAATTTAGTTAAATTGGCCAAACATTCTTTTATTATTTTATAAATATTTTAAAAAGTTACGATTTAGATTAAAAACAAATAGCCCAATGAACCCAATGACTGTTTCACATATAAAGCAAAAAGCAACGCAGCGGTTGGCAACCACATTAAACGCGTGTAATCTCTTGAGCTGCTTAGCTAATTACTCAATGCGGCGCACATTCGACCCTCACTAACGTTAATAATTTCGTGACCCTTATAGCACCCATAGGAGAAAGAGTGCTCATACTCGATCTACAGCCTCGCACACTTCCGTGACTTCTTCATCTTTACCGATAAAGATATTAAACTAAAATCCTAACACAAAAACATAATAAAATTAATTAAATTGATGATACAATGCGCCAGCATAACCTTAAACTTCGTTAATTATTCAAATTATTCAATTAAAATTATCATTAAATTAACCATATTTATATATATATATATATATATTTTTTTTTTTTTAATTATTTTAAAAACTGATTCAAATATATCATAAGAATATAAATTAATTTTTATTATTTCAAATTTAATCATCAAAACTTACAAATGCACGTTACATGAGATAAATAAATATTTTACGCTGAGAAATTAAATAAAACCTTTATTAATTAAATCACTGTTATATTAGATATTCTATAATTACTGCAAAATGGAATGCATTTAAAATATCAGTTTATTAATAAAATTTTAATATTTTGAAATAAAATAGAATAAAACAAATAGAAACATTGTAGAATAAATCAACTTTTATCAGTGAACTGGAAAAAATAAATTGATGATAGTAATTCGTAAAGAGGGTGTTCGTACTTGACAGATATTCTAGATCTTCAAAAGTAGAAGAAAATTCGAAAAGAGACTCTACTATAAATTATAAATGAGTATTAACAAACTTTTCTTCTTTAATAAAAATAATAAAGCAATTGTTACTAGTCCAAAGAACTTTTTTAAAGCTTTTTGTATATTTGAAAAAATTATAAATAATAAAATTTATAATTAGTCAATTAATGAATATTGCAGAAAGAAATCAAATATCTGATAAATTCAATTATTCAAAATTTACAAAAGTATTGCTGTTATATAAGTATAAAATAATACAAATTTTGAAATCGACAAATTTTAATTCCATTTAAAATCAAAATATTTGTAAATAACAAAAATAATTATGAATCTTGCTAAACTTAAGAAATAAACAATTTTTCATTATATTTAAAATTTAAAGTATATTTTATCTATTGTTAAAACAATATATTAATTGATTTGACAATAGCCTTACTTCAAATACTACAATATATAGATAAAACACTATTGTGTTTATTATAAAATAATATGTATAAATCACAGCGACATTTTACTTTATACAAATAAATAACATTGGTTAATTTAAAAATTACAAACATTATTTTAAAATAAAGTAAATATATTTATCTTTTTAATAATATTACACATTATATATAGAAATAGAATGCAAGCTTAAATTTAACCATTTTATTATTTTAATAAATATTTAATGTATAATTTAATATACATTTTAATATATATAAATAAGTAAGCAAGTGTATGCGAATCAGTTATTAAGTAATATTCCACAAATTAATTATATTAAAATTTTATTATCAAGATAAAAAATATATTATATAATAGTTAGAACTTTAATTTCATTTCTATTATTTAATTTTTCATAAATTTTTAAGGATTTACATTATTTTTAAGATACATTATACTAACATGGTACATTTTATTATTGAACTCTTATATTATTTATTTAATTATTATTTATTTCATATTCAAACTTTTTATTGAGAAAATAATTTATATATGTAAGTCTTATTCATGAAATCAAAATATTTATTATTTTTCAATATATATAATATAATTATTAATATTATTATTAACATTAATATATAATAACTAAATGTGTTCCTTCAAAATAATATATATATAATATCTAGTTTATTTGTTGAAATTTCATATTAAGAATCAAAAGTCTATTTTGATTGCGTAATAGATATTATGAATCGTTTAAATAAAAATGAATACGTTTTAGGTAGAATTGTCAACACTAATGTCTGAATTTTGTTGTATAAATTTGCTTAAACGATTAAATATTTACAAATTTACAAATTTAAAGCAATTAATACTTTTAAGGCTGCTTATATAATTAGGATAAATATTTGCATATGTTTCGTATTTTATTAAATTGTATTGCATTGTATTGTACTTACATATATTTTGGATTTATTATATTTTACATCTGTTGTAAAAAATTTGTTTAAAAAGAATTTTCGAAAACAATCTATAAAGAATTTATAAA